GTGTTAATTATAGATAGTTGAATAAAGTGACGATTAAGAACAAGTATTTGCTTCTAAGAATAGATGACTTGATGGATCAATTGGTGGATGCTCGTGTTTTTAGTAAGATTGATTTGAGGTCGGGTTACCATCATATTAAATTGAAAGATGAAGATATCCAGAAGACGACTTTCAGGATGCGTTATGGACATTACGAGTATTCGGTGATGCCTTTCCGTGTTACTAATGCACCGGGAGTATTCATGGAATATATGAATCGTATCTTTCATACTTATTTGGGTAGGTTTGTAGTGGTGTTCATTGACGATATTTTGATTTACTCTAAGTCAGAAGAAGGGCATGCAGAACATTTAAGAGTAGTGTTGCAAGTTTTGAAAGAGAAGAAGTTGCACGCAAAGCTGTCCAAGTGTGAATTCTGGTTAAAGGAGGTTAGTTTTCTTGGTCATGTGATTTTAGGTAGTGGCATTGTTGTAGATCCATCGAAGGTTGATGTTGTGTTGCAATGGGAAAATCCAAGTCAGCTACTAAGATTAGAAGCTTTTTGGGATTAGCTGGTTATTATAGAAGGTTTATCGAAGGGTTTTCTAAGTTGGCACTTCCGTTGACTAAGTTGACTTGTAAAGGTAGAGCTTTTGTGTGGGATTTTCAGTGCAAAGAAAGTTTTACAGAATTGAAGAAGAGGTTGACATCGGCCCCGATTTTGACGTTGCCTAATCTAGGAGAACCTTTTGTGGTGTATTGTGATGCTTCCAAGATGGGTTTAGGAGGTGTGCTTATGCAGAATGGTAAGGTAGTTGCTTATGTATCAAGGTAGTTGAGGACTCATGAGAAGAACTATCCTACGCATGATTTAGAGCTTGTTGTAGTTGTCTTTATGTTGAAGATTTGGAGGCATTATATTTATGGTTCTAGATTTGAAGTGTTTAGAGACCATAAGAGCTTAAATTATTTATTTGATTAGAAAGAGTTGAATATGAGGCAACGAAGATGGTTGGAATTGTTAAAGGATTATGATTTCAGTTTGAATTATCATCCAGGAAAAGTTAATATGGTAGCTGATGCATTGAGTCGAAAGACTTTACATATGTCAGCAATGATGGTTAAAGAGTTGGAATTAATTGAGCAGTTCAGAGATATGAGCTTAGTTTGCGAGGTTACGCTGTAAAGTGTTATGGTGGGTATGTTGAAGATTAATAATGAATTTCTAGACAGTGTCAGAGAAGCTCAGAAGTTGGATGTTAAACTGGTAGAATCGATCAGTCTGAGAATAGTGATTTTAAGTTAGATGCGCAGGGTGTATTGAGGTTTCGTAACCGGATTTGTATTCCTGATGATGCTGAGATGAAGAAAGTGATACTTGAAGAGAGTCATATAAGTAAGTTGAGTATTCATCCAGGAGCTACTAAGATATATCAAGATTTGAAAGGATTATTTTGGTGGCCTGGGATGAAGAGTGATGTGGCTCGTTTTGTGTATGCATGTTTGACTTGTCAGAAGTCGAAAGTTGAACATCAGAAGCCTGCAGGATTGATGCAACCGTTAGAAGTTCCAGAATGGAAATGGGATAGAATTTCAATGGACTTTGTGACGAGGTTACCTAATACTTTAAGAGGACATGGTTCAATTTGGGTGATTGTTGATAGGCTTACGAACTCAGCTCATTTTATTCCTATTAACATCAGTTTTCCAGTGTCGAAGTTGGCTAAGATTTACACTAGTGTGATCGTGAAGTTGCATGGTGTTCCTTTGTGCATTGTGTCAGATAGAGATCCGAGATTTACTTCTGATTTTTGGAAGAGTTTGCAAGAAGCGTTGGGTTCTAAGTTGAGGTTGAGTTCAGCGTATCATCCTCAGACATGTGGTCAGACTGAACGGACTATTCAATCGTTGGAAGATTTACTGAGGGCATGTGTTCTTGAGCAGGGAGGTTCGTGGGATACTTATCTTCCATTGATGGAGTTCACTTATAATAACAATTACAATTCTAGTATTGGGATGGCACCTTTTGAAGCGTTATATGGTCGAAGATGTAGAACTCCTTTATGTTGGCATGAATCTGGTGAAAGTGTAGTACTTGGATCTGAACTTGTTTGTGAGACTACTGAGAAGGTGAAGTTGATTCGAGAAAAGATGAAAGCTTCCCAAAGTAGACAGAAGAGTTATCATGACAAGCGACGGAAAGATTTAGAATTTCAAGCTGGTGATCATGTGTTTTTGAGAGTTACACCTGTGACTGGTGTTAGGCGAGCATTGAAGTCTAAGAAGCTCACTTTTCGTTTTATTGGACCATATCAGATTTCGAAGAGAGTGGGAATGTTACTTATAGAGTGGCTTTACCGCCTAATCTTTTGAATTTTCATGATGTGTTTCATGAGTCACAACTCCGGAAGTATATTTCAAATTCATCTCATGTGATTCATATGGACGATGTGCAAGTACGGGATAATTTTACGGTGGAGACGATGCCTGTACGGATCGCGGATCGTGAAATGAAGACTCTGAGGGGCAAAGAGATTGCCTTGGTTAAAGTGGTTTGGCTAGGATCTTCTGGAGAAAGCATGATTTGGAAGTCGGAGAGCAAGATGCAGGACTCCTATCCTGAGTTGTTTAATTAAGGTAAATTTTCGAGGACGAAAATATTCTAAGTGGGGGAGAGTTATAACGCCCGTAATTTAATTAATCATTTAATTAAATTATTTTTGGAATATTTATGAAGTTGTGTTGTGATTAATTGGATTTAAATTATTTTATTATATGGAGAAATAATATTAGAAGTATAATATTATTTGATGTGGGCTTGTTTTAAAGGAATAGAAGTAATAAAGGGGGTGTATTAGTTTTGAGCCCAATAAGGAGTAAAGAGAATAATAGGTTATTTTATTGTTGCTAGAAAGAATAGAAAAGAGGAGGCAGTAGAAGAATAAGGATTGAGAAGAAGAACATGAAGCTGTTGGAAAAGGAGGAAAAATGGCAGAACGAGGATTCAACCGGAAGTTATAGAGCAACCTTCAATCCAAGGTAAGGGTGGAGTTCTGACTCTATAATTGGGTTCATGATAATTGGTATATGGGGTTAGATGTGAAAGTGTTGCTTTATTCATGAATTGAATGTATATGTTGTTGTACAATGAGAATTGATGAATTATAGATGAATAGTGACGTTCTGATGCTGTGTAATTGATGTAGAATTATAGGATAACTGTAAGTGATGATTATCCATGATTAGATTAAGTTTTTAGGGCTTAAAATATGGAACTCGTAGTGAAAACACAGAGAAAATCATAGAATTTATGCAGGATGGAGTAGTATGTGTCGACCCCAAATGCTATGTGCCGATACAAGAAGGTTTTGAGACTCAGTATGAGTCGACACAAAGAGGTCTTGCGTCGATACATGAGGGCTTTTAGACTCAGGATGAGTCGATCCATATGAGAATGTGTTGATACATGCTGTGTGTTAGACTCAGGATGAGTCGACCCAAGAGAGGATATGTCGAATCATGTTGCGAGTTCAATGCAGTACGCGTCGATCCAAGGATTTATGCATCGACCCATGTTGCCTGGTTTTGGCAGAATCAGTTTGAGAAGGCTGTAACTTGAGTTTTCGGACTCCGTTTGAGGTGTCGTTCGAAGCGTTGAATAGCTAATGCAATGAGCTTTATTCTTTAGGATTAAAATGAAGAATAAGAAGTGTAATCCTAGTAGCCAATTTAGGATTTAGAGTTAGTTCCGGTGTTGATCATTATGTTGTTTTTTTGTGCAAAATGATGAAGATGAGATGCTTAGAGGCTACTGTTTGATTTATAACAGTAGGATTAATAATAATAATAATGTAAGATTACAAAATAGAAGTATGTAGAGGTTTGGTGACTTATAAGTAAGCCTTAGTTGGTTAATTAATTAGAGGCAATATTTAGTATAGGCCCATGGCCAACGTTGTGAAATTGATGAGTTACTGTCGTATTAAAGTACAACTGAGTTGTTGATGAGATGTTATTAATGAAGTTGTGATGTTTGATGAATAAATGATGTTTGATAAATTATTATGAATGATATGAGATTTTGATGAAGAGATGTTGAGATGCTTTTGAGATGTAGGCCTTTGGACAACGATGGTGTTGTATTGAGGTGTTGTTAATTTTGGTGTTGTTATTACATTCATGATTGTGTCGTATACATTGCATTTTGAGATGGAGCTTATGCTCGTTGAGATGGCCTGTATTGGCAAATATTGAGATGAAGGCTTATGCCTTGTTGATGCCTCTGTTAATTGACAATTTTTGAGATGGGAGTTATGCTCTAATGGTACCACATGCATTTGCATAAGTATTGAGTTGCATTATATGATTGCATAAAGAAGCGTGTATTGATGTTGTGAATGTGTATTATTGTTGTGATTATTATTGATTATGAGATGAGAAGTGGTGATGTTATGTGATCTAATTTAATATATTAACTATCATGCGCTTTATTATATTGTTAGATATCTCACCCCTTCTGTTTGAATGTTACCCTTATGTTGGTAACGTGCAGGTAATCAAGAGTGAAGGCAGTATACCTTCAGTAGTTCGAGTCGGTGTCATTGCTCTGATATGTAACACTCAGGGGGGTGAACGCTTGTTGCTTTTGATTGTTGATTAATTCCGTCGTTGAACTTTAAGTCGATTATTATTAATACGTGTTGTTTCAAAGTTGCTGTAACGATGATAAAAATGTTATTAAGAATTCCGCTGCGTAAATGTTGAATTATTTAATTAAAGATGTTATGATGATGGTTCATCCGATGTTTTAAAAGTGTTATATATCCACGATGAATGCAATGAGTTTTGAAAGATGAATTTGTGGTATCCCGATTCGTTTGCATGAATGACTTTTATAACTCTGATTTATTTATATAATTGTCGGGGTAGAATTGGGGTGTTACACCCAAGGGTACCATATGTATTCTATGGTGGTCAAGGACTTCATGCTTTCTAACACTAAGTAGTGGGACCTCAATAAAATGGGTAACTTCTTTTCTCCTGAAGTTACTAACAAAATCTTACAGGTACCACTCTTGGAGGATGTTACAGAGGATGGCGTGGTTTGGAAGGCGGAGCAAAACTGTGCCTATACTGTTAAAATAGTTTATAAGTTGTGGTTGCAGGGTTGCCGTAATTATAAGGGTAGTGGAGTAGAAGGAGATTGGAGAGGGTTATGGGGGATTCATGCGCCTTCTAAATCCAAGCATCTTCTTTGGAGGATTTGTCGAGGTTGTCTTCCTATTAAAAGTAAGTTAAGGTAATATTATGTTCCTTGTCCTAATAATTGTTAATTATATGAGGGAGAAGTGGAGGATGACTAACATATTTTCTTTGATTGTGCTCTTATATCTAATTGTTGGTCTGTAGCAGGTCTAGAAGAAGTGATTAGACCGAGACATGCATCAATGAATGAAGCAAAATTGGTGATTCATGATATTTGTAGCAAAGAGGATAAGAGGGTTGCGGGAAGAGTGGCAGTTATGTTATGGGTGATTTGGAATAATAGGAACAATTGGATATGGAACAATGAGAAGAAAGAGGCTAGCCAATTGGTAATACATGAGTACCACATGTGGAAGGATTTATATATGGATCAAGTACCCCACGATTCCGAAGGAAGTGCCGATCATCAGACAAATCATATACATATGTGGCAGCTCCCGAGAAGTGGATGGGTGAAATGTAATGTAGATGCGGAGTTTAATACACAAGTTGGATCGACTAATAGAGGTTGGTGCTTTTAGGATATTTCTAGAAACTTTATGTTGGCAGGTACCTCGTGGGATGTTGAGATTTATTCTACCATTGAAGCCGAGGCTTTGGCTTTGAAGGAAGCGATTAAGGTAGTTATTGAGATGCAATAGGATCATATTATTTTTTAGAGTGGTTCTCAATTGGTTGTGCATGCCATTAACGCTAGTTTTATGGGTACCTCTGAATAGTATTAAACATTTTCTTGTTTCTCACCATAACTTTGTGTGATACGGTGGGAGAACTGACTTGAGTGTTTTGCGTTTGATCGCAAATGTTGCGGTTAGCAAGAGTCACCACCGACTTTTCTTTTATCCAAAAGGAAAGGTGAAAAAGCACAGGAAAGACCTTTGAGATGTTTTCTTGAGTTCGAGGGGTAGATTATGAAAAGGGAAGGTATTAGCACCCTTTTCATCCATGGTTTTTCATGGGCTCTTAGTTACTTGTTTAGATCACTTGCTTTTGTTTGAATGTTCTTGTGGTGTGTATTTTGAAAGTATTTTTGAAAATGGAACTTCGTAATGGTTCTCGTTTCTATAAGAACTCCTACAAAGTGTTTGTTTCGAAAATAGTTCAAAGGTGTGTTTGTGAGATGAGTTTTTGAAAGTATTTTGAAAATGTAACTTTGTAACGATTCTCATTTATATAAGAACGCATACAAAGTGTTTGTTTCAAAAATAGTTCAAAGATGAGAGTGTGGGTGTATAAAAATGTTTTTGTTGTGAGCAAGCGAGTAACTAGGAGCGAATCTACCTACTCGAAAAGTCTTAAATGTGCTTTTCCTCCTCCTTTAGATGTGGCTATCTTACCATTGATTTGGTAAGAAGCCCCATCGTTGGATGTGAAGGGACGGACGTTGGGACGTTTGTATAGTCATAGAAGGCAACATATGGTACATTTTAGCAATGTTGTTTTAGGGACTAGATCGTTTACCGAAGGCAACATCGAGGGACTACGATCTTTTATCGAGGGTCTTTGCTAAAACGCTCATGCTCGAGGGACATGACTATTTTCCGAAAGGGGCAACGAGATGGGATTATCCTAAGGGTGCATGTGTGAATAGCGTGTTAGTTTTCATGCATTTTATCTTGTTTTTGAAAGTCATCTATTTGTTGATTTCATCTTGCCATACATCTTATTTACTAGCATTATATGAAAAGCAAGTAAAAAATGGAAAGTAAAATCTAAGCTATTACATCACTTTAGGGGGATGGGGGTACAATTTAACAATGAGGGTGAAGTAGGATCTAAAATATTACAACCGCATCGAATGATAATGAAAAGAATGTGAAAACAGTGCAGAATAAAGGAAAAATGCATTTTTGAACTGCTATGTGTCGACCCATGCTGCTATGCATCGACACATAGCTTCTCCTTGCTCCTGTAAAGTGAAATATGTTCAGTATGAGTCGACCCATAATAGGATGTATCGACTCATACACCTTTTGCATCGATGCGAAACATATATGTATCGACTCATAGGCCTTTCCAGCTTCTGTTTAGTGACCTGAACTCAGTATGGTTCGATGCATGAGGGTTATGTGTCGACTCATACCCTGTATTTTTACTAAGATGGGTCGACACATGTGAATATGTGTCGATACCTACTGCCTTTTTCTGCCTTAAACACCATTCTTTGCATACGTCAGTTAGTTCTTAACATATAGATGAATAACATGAACAACAAATAAATGATTAACTTTAAAAATAGTGATTGCTACATCCTATAAACAGAAAAGTTGATGTATGGAAAAGGCAAGGTAAAAATGACTTACCTTAAAACTGCACTTTAGGTTTTGAATCCAAATACCCTTTAAGATGTTGTATGAACCTTAAGGAAGCTCCAACAGGCTGCTAGACTTTCCTTTTTGTTGAAGGTTACTAAATAACCTCTGTGTGGTATGAAATGTTTGGATGGTTTTTAGATGGAATATGCAAAGTGTGATAGGTTTAAAGGTTTAGACTTCAAAACTCAAGAGTGGAGATTTTATGGACTGTTATGGCTTTTTGTGAATATGAGATTTTAAGGGTTTATCAATAAAACTTCTGGTTGTTCTCTTTGTTCTCTCTCTCTATTTTTTCTAACCTCTTTTTCTTGCAAATGCTTCTTCTATTTATAGGCAAAGGACTTGTGAACAAAGGCTGAATATGTTTACAAAACAACATGTTATGGTTTGGTTGGGATGTAAGTATCAAACTATGTCAAGTACTCCATGGTTCCAAGATCAAGTACCAAAGTTGCTGGTTTAGAGGGGTTGGTTTCCATATTTTATGGTGGAGCAAAATCAGAAACAAGCAAGGTATGGGCTCAAGACAAACTTTGTACCAAAAGGCTTGCTTTTCAAGAGTAGCAATGGTGCCTTTATGCCATAAATGGAAAGATCTTTTGGACAATGGCTCAAACACTTGGGTAATAGCTCAAGCTCTTGTGTAAACATTAAATTATGTTGAGATTTGCAAGTCACAAGACCTGCAAAGTGAGATTATGTAGCACATCATGCCAATTGGATTATGTATTCTTCAACAAAAATGACTTGTAATTCAAGAATGGATGCTCAACTTCAGATCCTTGTATCTTCTAGCTCAAATATGATAAATTCATGCTCTTGGATGTTTTGGAAAGCTTCAAACACCCTCTATAACTTTCATGTTGGCCATTTTGACAAAATCATCTTGGAACTATGTGAAAAAACACCAAGAAATTGGGATAAAATCCTGCACAAAATCTGTTGAAAATTTCTCTAAGTGTTAAATGAAAATGTCATGACTTCATGAATTTATAACTTGAGATCCAAGCATATTTATGAGAAGTTGTGTAAAGCAATGTTGTAGATATCATGGAGATCTACAACTTTCATGTTGAAAATTCCCCTTGAACCGTCTTGCATCTTGGTGAAAGAATGACATGAAGTGATGAAATTATCATGTATAAAAACACTTAGAAAATTTCTAGGTCTTGGAAATCTTGACTCTTCAAGTTGACTTTTGACTTTCTTAACTTCTTAATGATCAAGCTTGATATTTTTGAATGTCTTGATGAAATTTGATCTTTGGGTTGTAATGTTGACCAAAAAGTCAAAGTTTGACTTTCCAGTATGCAATTGATAATTTTGCCCTTGTGCCAATTTCAAGCCTAAATTGATGTATCAGTGCTACAAACTCGACGTCTTAGAATATCTTGTGAGCAAATACTTGACAAATGAGAGGGCAAATTTTAAGATACAACACTTTGAAGTTAAGTTTATAAAATGTCAAGCGAATTCAGTGGCTCATAACTTAGCTAGGGTGGTCAATTCATGGACTAGACGTATGGTTCTACATATGATTCCTCCTTGTATTGAATATTATTTGAATAATGATATGAATTAAGTTTGATTTTGTAAAAAAAAAATAGGATAGGATATGACTAAATGGTTGAATATTTTTATTAATTTATTAATTATTAATTAATAATATTTAACATTTTACATAATAATTAATAGAAATATTGACAATGAAGATAATAAGAATCGAGTAAATGAGTGAGTTAGTTATTTATTAATTTATAATATTTAATTTTTTAATTAATTAATTAATTATAAATTTTGACGAAAATTTTTAACGAAAGAAATTCTATAATTATTAATTTAGTACGATTTAGATTTTTTGTGAACACAAAATTATGACATCATAAAAACGTTTATGGATTTATTTGTATTCCGTTCACATTATGATAGTTCATATTTGCACGCTTAGAAGATGTGGATTTGTACCATCGATAAAGAGCAGAGGACTAGTTGTCAAAAAGAGAAAAGATAAAAAAACTAACGCGGGATAAAAAACCTGAACAATACATATGAGCCGTTGGATCTTAATTCAACGAATCAGATTTAAGTCCTCAGATTCCCACATTAAGAACTCCATTTTCGAATTTTCCCTTTCCTTTTTCCATTTCCCACTTCTCTTAACTCACATCTTTCTCCTTATTGCTTCATTCATTTCATCTCCTCTTCACAGTTTGATATTTTCATAATTGCCCCTACGTAACGACGTCGTTTCTTTGAAGAGCCAACCACGCTCGCGTCTTTCAAGAAAACGGCGCACTCCAGCACGAGCTCCGGCGGAAACTGCAACGGCTCTGCCGTTTCTGAGTTTCCGGCCGGTTTAAGACTTCTCGTCGTTGATGATGACGTCACTACTTTGAAGATTATCGAGCGAATGTCTCATCGCTGCCATTATCGCGGTTAGTTTTCGTCAATTGTTTTAGTTTCTTCAAATAAATACGTTGAATTAGTACTGATGAATCAAATTCATGTGTTTTTGTTTTAGTTTTAACTGCATTATTGCTGAATTTGGCGAAATCATGTTGTCACTGTCATTTTGTTAGTTAGAGTTCTAATATCTAGTTTTTGCTAAAACCGCACTATGATATTAATAAATCGAATAAGATAGTTGAATAATAGGAGGCTCAAATATGAACATGATAACTTCTTATCATATTTCATATGTAAGTTTGTTCATGGTAAAGTTCACTGAGAAGTCCGAACCAAACTATCCATAGTAAAAGTTTCCCCTCAAGTGTGAGTCACAATGCTCCCCCTCATGTGGAATGACTCTCTTCGACATACACTTGTACCATCCCTCGATACAAGTAAGCTGGTCCCTATCTCGAAACCAAAGGCTCATGATACCACTCGTGTTTCCCAGGAAAACAGAACCAAAAGCTCTAGATACCAATTTGTTGGTGCAAGGTAATGGAAGGAGAGATAAAGAATGAACAATGAATGATAACAAAGAGGACTACTTCTTAATATTCAAATAGAGAAATGAATTTTGGGATACAATATTGATAGTCTAGTTAGCATATTTATACTAGAAATGAAAATGCCAAAAGGCCCTAATAAAGAGTAAGTATTGAGAATTGTGGACATTAAATAAATTACATTTCCAATAAACTGGACTGTTTGAATTTACTCAAAACCAAACCTAACCAGAATTACTGGTAGTATATTCTTACAATGTTTTGAAATTCCGAATTGTACCAGTGTTAGATGACAATTTTTTCAAACAGAACAATTAAACTATTTTTTTATTTTTATTTTTTTAAAATTTTAAAACTTGTTTTAGTATTTTTCATTTTCAGTTTTGTTTCAGTTCGGTTTGGTTTATTTTCAGTTTTGTTTCAGTTCGGTTTGGTTTATTTGTCATATGGTTCGGTTTAGTTTATTTGTCATATGATTCAATTTGGTTTATTTGTCATATGGTTCGATTTGGTTTATTTGTCAAGTTTTGGTTCGGTTTAGAGATGTGAATGGGACAGAGAATGTTTTGAGGATGCTTTCCCGCTCCACGCCCCACCTCTAAATTTATTCCCCATCCCCGCCCCACCTTCAAATTTATTTCCCACCCCGCCACGGGAGAATATTTTCCCCAACCTTCATCCCCACAGATCCCCACGAAAATCCACAGAGATAGAATCTTATGGAAATTTTTATATTTTTCGATCAAACTATGATACTAGTATTTCGTTATTTTTTCCTTTTTAAAAAAAATATATTTTGCATCTTTTTTTTTAAATACATATTGCATCAATAATTAAAAAAAAAAAAAGCATTTGTGGCTAATATTTTTTCTGTAAAAAAAAAAATATTATCATAACTTGTTGTTACCATTCTTCCGCTAGTTTACTATCATAGTACCGCTGCCGTCCAGTACAAGTGGTTGATTATGTGTAGTATGGGAAATCCTTAACTACTAATTTATTAATTGAATGAAAAACATGTTACTAATGAAAGTAAAGTGCTTTTGAAGAATAATTACCCTAAGCATAATGAACAAAGGAGAGTGGTTGTTGTGATGATTATGAGAACAAAAAAGATGATAAATGAAGGAGACATAGATAAATGATAAAAGAAAAGAAAAGGAAAGGAGGAGACGATGTGTACATTCTATGAATTGAATGTACTTTTTAGGTTTGGGTATTTGGGTAGTGAAACAATACATTATACAATAGAACATAAAAAAAAATGATCTACTAATGACTCTTCATTTTCTAATACATTAATATTTTTTAATGTAAATTTATAAAATTATATATTATATAACATATTAAATTTAAAAGTTAAATAGTATGGTCGGAGTCGGGGAATCCAAGGGGCTAATGATACTTTTCCCAATCTTCGCCCCAAAGTATCATCACGGGAACTTTTCCCTCCATCCTCGTCTCTATGGGGAAAAAATCCCCAACTTCGATGCTCCGAACAGATAATCCCCACATGAATCCCCGTTAAGGGATTCAAATTGACATGCCTAATTCGGTTTATTTGTCATATGGTTCGGTTTGGTTTATTTGTCATATGGTTCGGTTCAGTTTATTTGGCATACGGTTCGGTTCGGTTTTAGTTTCGATTTGGTTTATTTGTCATATGATTCAGTTCAGTTTTAGTTTCGGTTCGGTTCGGTTTATTTGTCATATAGTTCGGTTCGGTTTATTTGTCATATGGTTCAATTCGGTTTATTTGTCATATGGTTCGGTTTGGTTTATTTGGCATACGGTTTGGTTCGGTTTATTTGGCACACGGTTTGGTTCGGTTTTAGTTTTGGTTCGATTTATTTGTCATATAGTTTGGTTCGGTTTATTTGTCATATAGTTTAGTTCGGTTTATTTGTCATATGGTTCAGTTTATTTGTCATATGATTCGGTACAGTTTTAGTTTTGGTCGGTTTATTTGTCATATGGTTTGGTTCAGTTTATTTGTCATATGGTTTGATTCGGTTTATTTGTCATATCGTTCGGTTCGGTTTATTTGTCATATGGTTCGATTCTAGAATTGTTCGAACAATATGGTTCGATTCATTACAGAGACATAACGGTTAGATTGTTTTAACTTCAGTTTAGTTCGGTTCAGCGGTTCGGTTTGGTTCACAGTTTTTTTTGAACAGTCCTAGTAATATGCAGACTGTAAGGGTGAAAAAGGGGGGAAAAAATACTATCATGTTTATTTATAACACAAGTCTCCCTTAGGAATCCTTTTTCCTCACAATTCTACATATGTTATAAGTTAACTAGATGAAATAATATTCGGAGTCTTTTTTCCTCACAATTGTACAGATATTATAAGTTAACTGGATATATATGGTAGGTCTAGTTCATTTCCGAATGGGTGGCTGCTAATTTATAAGTCCGGTTAATTTGAATAATATATTTTCTTTTTAATTTGTAATATATTTTTATTTATCATGCAGTCACAACATGCTCTGAGGCTACTGTTGCTTTGAAAATTCTGCGGGAGAGGAAAGGCTGTTTAGATGTTGTGCTGAGTGATGTTCATATGCCAGACATGGATTGGCTATAAACTCCTTAAACATGTAGGATTGGAAATGGACCTTCCTGTTATTAGTAAGCACCGGCGGTCTCTTGTTTGTAGAATTACTTTAGTGTAGTTGTAAGTTGTAATGTGTAATACTGAAAAGTGGTTTTGTTCTGCATACTGCAGTGATGTCTGTTGATGATAGGACAAAGACTGTCATGAAGGGACTTAGACACGGTGCTTGTGATTACTTTATTAAGCCTGTAGGGTTGGAAGAACTAAGGAATATATGGCAGCATGTTGCCAGGAAATTTTTGAATGAAAACAAGGAATTTGATAATTCTTGCAGCATAGATGATAATGACCGCAATGCACGAGGGAACGATGATAATGATAATGATAATACTTCTTCTGTTGCTGGTATAACAGAAGGATTAGCTAAAGAACAAAAAAAGAGGAGCAATTTAAAAGACGAAGATGTTGAGTTGGAGAATGATGATCCATCTACATCTAAGAAGCCTCGTGTAGTGTGGTCTGTAGAACTGCATCAACAATTTGTCAGTGCTGTGAATCAACTAGGGCTTGACAGTAAGGATTTTCAACTTTTTTCTTTCTATTTCTTTTGCTTTTGTATTCAATGACTAGAGACATCTTCGGAATGTAGAAATCAAAAGCATTTTAAGCATCTATTGCTTATCAGTTATTTATTATCCTTGTGTTTCAGAGGCTGTGCCAAAGAGAATCCTTGAATTGATGAATGTCACTGGTCTGACAAGAGAAAATGTTGCAAGTCATTTGCAGGTATTAGTCCAATTTGTGAAGTCATTACTTACAACCTTCCTTTAGAACCGTTTTCATTTATCGATTTACAATTGCCGACCATGCAACTAATCTAATCAGTTACACTAACAATATGCTATTAGTATTTTTTTCTCAATTTTCATATATATTATGTGCTAGATTTCACATGTTTGGCCTTGGCCTTCACAGGGTACCGTTTTTTTGGAGATGATTATTGCAAACTAAGGCATTAGGTTGTACATTAATGAACTTATGTTTTGTAGTGCCTGACTGTAGTTGACATTACCATTGTGAATTGCAATATCATTTGGCAGAAATTTAGACTTTATTTAAAACGATTAAGTGGAGTGGCACAGCAACAGAATGGGATACTAAACAGACTTCCTGGGACTATAGAATCCAAGCTAGCTGCTACTGGACGATATGACATAGAAACTTTGGTAGCTTCTGGCCATGTTTCCCCTGAAACACTTGCAGCCCTTCATGCTGAGCTCTTCGTTACCCCGGTAACTAACATAATGCCTTCAGTGGACCAAACTGCACTAATACATGCATCTGTTCACGGGCCAAAACATTCTCGTGCTGATGATCCTACTGAAGCATATGGTCCGCCTCTTCTAAACTGCCCTTCCAACAGTGTCAATAATTTCTCTCTGTCCATCTTTAAAGTAGATGATTCATCATCAGGATATGGAGCATGGCCGCCATCTAATACGCTTAGTTCAATCTCAAGGGGGAGGTTAGGCATTCAGAATAATAGCATGGTGATTGATATATTGCAGCACCAACAAAGACATCGACATCAGCAAAAACAACAGCATTTTCCGATTCATGATCAAAATCGATCAATCAATGTTCAACCATCTTGCTTGGTGGTTCCTGCTTAATCTTCTGACACTTTCCAGGCAGTAAATAGTGCTGCTTCTGTCAACAAGGATTGCAGTTTTGGCAGAAATCCTATTATTGATTATAGTCAATCGTCACAAAAATCAAATAATTCTTCGAGTACATCTCGATATCCTGGCGGAAACACCAAAGCTACCTTCATTTCTCCTTTAATGTCCTCTTTTTCAGTAGGCTCCAGCAGTAGCAATATTCAGCAGATTCAGAACTCAACTTCAACATCTGGTGCTGCAATACCTTGGCCTAGCCATCTGCCTGTGACTTTTAGACAAGTTCCATATGATATTAAATCCAGTGATTCACTTGATCAATTATGTCTTAGAAATCTTGGATTTGTTGGAAAAGCTAACTGCATACCAAGTTTAGAAAATAAAATTGAGTCATCTGCAAGTATTTTAGTCATAGGAAAGTATTCATGGCTAGCAATGGTAACACAGTGAAGGAAGAACCAGATTTGATCAGATATCCAAATGTGAGCCAGCCAGTTCTACAGAGTTATCCATTTCATGACCATTCAAGTGCATTCACATAATAGGTAACTTCAACAATTCATCTACCATTTTTTTTTATATAAGATGACGAATATCTGTTATACTATTTGGTCAGTGAATGGAACACTTTATATTAGCCGGGCATAATGTCAATAGAATGATGGCTTTAATTTTGTCTCGTAATTTCACGAATGGCAATGAAGAGGCTATTTAACTACTTTAGTCTAAACCATTAACTGTGTATCCTATTTCTCTGCGTAAGCTGTGTACACAAATAGATTGAACTTCTAGATCAACCTTCCCATCAAATAGTATCTTATATGAGAATGCTTGGAAATGGTTGGTTACTCAGATACGCACATGTCTATTGTCTTTGGTATTTTCTAAACAGATGTAAATTAATGGAAGTCACAATAAATGACCACCTATGAAGCTCCGACACGCCAATTAGAAGGCGTGTCCTCACACCGGACACGTGTGTCCCCGCACCGGACATATATCGGACGCCGACACGCGTAAGACACGTATCGGACACGTTTTTGAAGTGTCCAACGGAAAAAAATTGAAACGCAGCCGACACAGATACGACACACTTTCAAATAACAGACACACCAACCTCTCAAATTCTCAGAATTAAAAATATTACATTTCATATTCCACTTTCCCATTATAAAAACAACTCGTATTCCTTGTTTTTTTATCTTCTCTTTTTGTTTTCATCTTCTTTGTTTGTTTTCATCTTCGCCGCACGCCGGTATTCTATCGTCGCCCCTTTCAGTATTCCACTCTTTCTCTTCCGATACCCATTCCTTTTCTTTCTTTATTATTTGTCTCTGTTTCCTGTTATTAATTACATACTTCGATGACGACGCTTCACTCGTGTTATTATTTGTAAATTGTCTTTGTTTTTTGTTTATGTTTCATGTTAATTACATAAATGTTATATGTTAATTAGATATGTTATATGTTATTTGTCTTTGTTTCATTCATATTATATGTTAATTACATATAACATACAACTTGTTTTTGGATAAGCCAAACTTAGAGATATGTTTTCTCAATGTGGAGTGACTACGATATGATTTGTATCATTTTATTTTAGATAATTTTTCTTAATTGAAAATACTCAATTTAAGTCTTTTTTTGGTTGATTGAAAGTACTAAGTTTAAGTAAATATAAATTTTAGTTCTCATTTTAGACTCATAAATTGTATTATTTTATTAATATATAAAATATATATAACCGTGTCCGTGTTCTATGTTTTTTATATTAGTGGTGTCCTCATGTCCGTGTCGTGTCCCGTATTCGTATCCGAGTCCGGACTTCATAGATGACCATCTGATTTAATCTTTTGAAGCTTGTTAAAGCCACAGTGAGGAGGATGGTGGGTAATATTTGGCAAGTACTCCATGTGTTATGGACATTATGATGCTATTTGGTCAGCCGGCGCCACCTTGTAGAAAAGGCTTTGATAGCTGTAACTTGTACCAAATGTTTTTATTTTTGAAAATATGCTAATTAAATACTAACAGGTGTTTTTTCCTGGAAAAGGTTACTTGAAGATATTGCAGCATGATTTTTGCATTTATATTGGCTGTGAATGTGTGCTTGAATTTTGTTTGCATCAGGCTGAATTGGAGAGGAGACGACCTTTCCTCTAAAGGTACATATTGTTGTTTTCTCGTTAATTGTTAGGAAAACAGTTGCTGAAGTTCTTTCGTGCTGTCTACACTATTGTTAGCTGCATTCTAGACTTCAATGATGACTCTAACTCTGTATAAAGGTTAGTATTTATGAATGTTAGTTTAATTTAATCCTCAGTAGCTGTACATGTATATTGGAGTGCTAAGTAATTATAAACTAGTTTGTAGGGAAATAAAGTTTTTAATCAGATTCCAACTGATTAAATTATTGGCTCCAGGTAAGGAAATTAGTAATTTTAGGGCTTATTTTTTTTTTTTATATATATATTTTTGATAGACAAATGTCAGTGGTTAGTTTGTTAGGAGGAAGAGGAAATATTAGTAGCAGGGATCGAACCTTGGATCTCCTACATAGAACACCTTTGTTTGTAATGTAAAACGCTATGATTGTCGCCTTAACTATGAATTCCTCAGAACTGTTACTTATACTTATTAAGATTTAGGATCAATTACAGTTTTTGTGCCTCAATAGTTGAAGACAATGTGAATAGGACTATGTTTTTAGCCGAAAGAACCAAAGGTGGTTTGGTTTCGTTTAATTGCTGAAAACAAGTCTTGAAAGAAGTCTGCATCTACATTATGTTTGATATACATAGGGGCTGGAGGCTGCCAAGAATCGGATTGATGTTAGGCATTATGAGAGGAGGATGAATGGTTGTATACCATACTGTGTCGGACACAATATTAGGTTTTTGTGTCTAAATAACACTTCATTTGTTTAAGAGTATCTGTGGCATTCTTCCACAGCTTCTTATTCCGGCCTTGTCAAATTGCCGAGAGTATGGCAAACCTCTGCTGAGAGGTAGATTCAGCCCTTGTGTGAAACATAAAGTATCTTTGAATTCAATTTGCTGCAGCAACAGATGGATCAAATGCCCTAAATTCTGAGAATTCCAAACTACCTTTGCATGATCACAAGTTAATAAAAATTTATGACAAATTTTCAAAGCCATGAGAGCATTAAAAGCAAGAGAGTTAACCACAGACAGACACCTCTTAGATTAAGTATGTCCCTGTATCGGTGTCCGGCCATCTGGTACGTTTCAAACAGTTTGGACAATTTTAATAAAACACTATTTTTTACCATGACCACTAACCAATATGAGTAACAGTTAAGCTTAAAAGTAGTTTCTTATTATTTCAAAACCAATAACCAATAATTTTACATGCATGTTATTATGTTGGTAACCATATGATTTATGAGTTTAAAGATAGTGTATTCACACATACAATCAATTAAAATCTTTATAATTGTCATGTTATATCAATTTTTTAAAATTAAAATAGTGTTTTAATTGGATACATATCTCATTGGTTGACAGCATATAAATATTCTTTTTTTCTCATAATTTATTTTATACTTCAATTTGTATTTCTCTAACCTTTCATTTTTTACAGGTTTTATATCATGTGGGTGTTGTTATAATTATTTATTTCAATAAATAAATGCAATGTGCTTAAGTAAAGTTGATTCAAATGGGTGTTGTTATAATTATTTATTTCAATAAATAAATGCAACGTGCTTAAGTAAAGTTGATTCCAAGTGGATTTCAAACAATGATGGATGGTTGTGCAAAATTAGAAATCAATTGAATGACCTAAGCTAAATATTTGTACCTTAACTTTGTATAGGTATTAAAATCAAATAAAAAAAATAGGGTGTTGTTCACCACACAAGTAGTGATCACACATCCATATCCTATAGAAACTCTAAATTGTCATTTGAATCATTCGGGTTTCAAAACAGATTCCCTAATACTAGCAGACTAAGATATTTATTTTTTTAAAAAATTTGATACATAATTAGGAGGTATTGAACGAACACAAACCCCTACATGGCATATGTGCAATACATCATCAAATAAGTTAGGAGTAAATCTACCGGCTCAGAGGAGGACTAAGGCATTGCATGGTCTTCAATTTTAAGATATTCAATCTGCATTAATTTTCAAAAATATTCATTCTTATGATATTTAATTAGGATATTGATCAACATGTAACTTTCTATCAACCTAATTTTCTACCTAAAAGATTAAACCTTAATGTTCTACTTTTAAAGATTAAAACCTAATGTTCTACCTAAAACATTAAACCCTAATGCTCCATCTAAAAGATTAAACCCTAATTGAAAAAAACACTAACCAATTAGTCTGGTTTCTTCATCATGCATGTCGTTACTGCTACCCACATTCATCGAGCTGTAAAATGAGAGAATAGTTTTGCAATGAGAGAAGAGAGAATGAATGTGCGATGAGATGATCAATCTGAGTTTTGGAGAGAATGGAAGTGCAGTGGAGATTTGGGTTTCGGAGAGAGGTTGTGCATGCGATTATCGGTCTGGGTTTTGAAGATTTGGGTTTCGGAAGGGACGTGCATGCGATGAGTGTTTTGATAGATGGATGAGTGTGGTAATTTGTTTATATGTTTATATTATTTTATTCACCTAATAATTACATCCCTTAATATTCACTTTGTGGTTGTTTAATGTGTTTATGATTAATATTTTGAGTTATAAAATTAAATAACTTTCTTTAGTTTATATAAATTTATACTTATTTTTAGTTTAATCAGAATAATAAAAATTTGATTATAATAATATTTTTAATTTACACCTGTTTTAAAAAATAGGGTGTATATTGTCACGTGATAATACTTTAGATGACACTTTATTTATAAAATTGTCACCGCTTTTCTTATTTATATCCGTTTTTAATATATCAAATGTAAATTTTAAAATTATATTGTTCTTTTTGCACTAGTGTGTGCAGTTACTTAATAATTACGCTGATGCATCAAGCCAGGAAATTAATATGACAAAATCAGAAATTTTCTTTAGCCTTAATTAAAGTAAGCCTTCTCAAGAGGATCTTGCTCGTATTATAAAAGTTTGTCATGTTTTGGACACAGGGACGTATTTGGGTCTATCGTCTATGATTGGGAGAAGCAAAAAATATACTTTTATAAAGGAGCGTATTTGGGAGAGAATTAATTCATAGAGGTAGATCATTATCCAAAGCAGGGAAATAAATTATGATTAAGTCAGTCTTGCAGACAATACCAATCTACATTAAGAGTATCTTCATCATACCTGATGTGATAGTAAAGGACATTAAGAAAATGCTGAATTCTTTTTGGTGAGGTGGATGTAATAACAATAAAGGTATAAGGTGGATGACATGAGAAAAATTATCTTGTACTAAGAAGGAAGGAGAATTGGGGTTTCGAGACTTTAGAGCTTTTAATATGGCTATGGTAGCTAAACATGGTTCACAACTATTGACAAAATCTCAAACTCTTGCGACAAGAATCTTCAAAGCAAGGTACTTTTTAGATGTTT